AAGTACACCTTGGTATAATCCAGTGGCGGCTGATAAAAATAGATAATACATGAATAAATCTAACCTTATAATTCAAATCTATTTTTTTGAGCCGTCTTTAGATTCCCTCATTTGGTTCATTATAAGATCATTGTTTGGGTCAGCAGTGCCTTATGTAGAGTGACAGTGTTTAAAGGGGGGGGAAGAAGGCCATCCTCGGCACGGACTGAGCCCCTTGTACATTGAACACTATAAGGCGGCCCCTACTTGCATTTTCCTTCTTTTTAAAACGTTTTTTTGGGCCACTATTGCCTTTATTGGAGAGAAAGGGCTAAAAGGGGGGAGACAAAGGGACGTCCTCCTCCATAGGAGCGACTAAGCCCATAGTACATGGGCTTCTAGCTCTGCCAAGTGAGCTTTACTACATGCAGTTTCTTTCATTTTTTCAAAGTTTTGATGGGCTAGGGGAGATAGAGCTGATGACACATGTAAAGGGACCGCAGGCCGGATTCAAACTTAGACTGAGCCCTAGTACATGGGCTCCAACCACTGAGCGATGTGGCGGCCCTACACACAGTTTCTTAATAAGATAGGTGGCACAGTGTCAGCTCTGCCTGTCCCCGACTCTCCATCTACTCTCTATGTGCAAATGGATTCATTAGCCTTTTCACAATGTCACATTAGTCATCCTTTATTACGGTAATCCTTGGCTCTGCACCAGTAGCCTCTCATTCTCATGTATATTACCCCAGTCATTACAGCAATAGGATTACTTCAAAACTGTCCTTCTCCTCAACTGGAGGTACTAGCGGGTGGTGCTTGCTTTTAGCCTCTAATTGGATATCTTGGTTATGACTGGGACCTTTAATAAACCCTGTGATGAGAGGGGGGGCTGTGTAAGAGCTTATAAGGGGTCTCCTCAGAGACAAACCTCTCTGCACACCTACAAAGTCAAAGCATGGCTCCAGGCGTTTTACAACTGTTAATAGAGATAATTCAAGGAAAATGTATAAATTGGCTAGCTAAATGTAAACAAGTGTATACACCAGAGTTCCTAGAAAAATATTTCTACATTATATGATATGAATCTATTGGATTCTACACTGACAGTTTGACCCTCTGTGTGCCCAGAAGGTGGGATTTAAAGACTCATTTATGTGCACAAAATAATACATTTTACCCTTGAAATCAACATGATAATGAATACAAACACAATAAAAATGTATGTCAAATAATGTGCACACATATTCATTTAAATAATTTGAATGAATCTCATTTTAAATGTGTTCTACAGTACTAAATAATTTAAGTTGTTAAGCAATATGTTTGGAGACTCTTATTTTTTAATTGAAGTTTTCCTATCTGTAAAGTGATTTGGTTTTGTTGGGAGAGGCTGGCATTTCAGGTCTAATTTAGCCTGACGTAGTTCCAAAGCAGCTGGGCTGACTTTTTATTTGCTCCGTGTTGCAGCTGGAGGAGCAGCTGAGCCGTCTGCAGAGAGAGAAGAACGACCTGCAGTCCAGGATGGAGGAGGACCAGGAGGACATGAACGAGCTGATGAAGAAACACAAGGCTGCTGTGGCCCAGGTCTGCTTCTGCCCTCTCTTTACCGTAACAACGTGAACATCACAACCACCACTTCATGCTTCTGTTTCCTATATGCAACTTGAATGATTAATGAACACATTTTATAATGGAAATACAAAGAAATGAACAGAAGTTTAATCAAGCCACTTCATTAGTCCACACAACGTATTTGAATTCCTCTGTGACTGTCGGAGATCTCAGTTTACCCATAACACCCTGCTCTGCACAAGTCAACCGGAACCTCACTAATTTCTCATTGTTTTCGTCTGAAACTTGCCTCAGTCATGTGGAGAAATTGTAACTTTTTCCGCAGATTTTAGACTGGTTATATGCGTTGTATGCCTCAGGAAGTTAGCATACTACTCGCAAATGAGCTAAAAGGCAATTTCACATATTCAGCTTCATAAATATGTTACGGACTAAATAGTGTATTTTTATAACATTAATACAAATAAAAAACTCAGCTAGTTTTACACATGTTCAATCTTATTTCTCTAAAATACATCGCTAGCTTACTTACACCACCACCACAGGATTTAAGTGGGATAGTTGTTCTCCATACATCCCTACCAATTGAGACATTTTTAAAAGCCCCTCCCACCCATTCATCTAACTGTATATGCAGATGAACAGCAAGGGCAAAGTGGAGTGAAAGCGCTTCTTTTTCGCTGATGGATGAAGAGTGATCTGCTTCCACTGGCTCCAAATGAGTCCATCCTTCCTGTCATCATTGAAACAGTTGAATTCCCCGTGGGACCCACTGTAGCAGAGTGCTTCATCTACTGTGAAAAAAGCACTCGTCTCAAATGTTTCACTCGGGTCACATTGAGATAAGATTTTATTGATATGCCTTCTGCAGACTACAAAACATCTTTCCAGCAGATTTATTTGTCTAGGTAAAGTCACGATGTTGTCTTCATGTTTTATTGGAGCTACGTGAAGCTTTTTATTTCTCTGCATTCTAGCTGCATGTACAGTCTGCAGAGCTGATGCACTTGTTAAAATGAAATGCTCCTACAGTTTCATGTTGCTCGCTGACTTTGCTTCTGTCTTTGTGTTTTCAGTCGGCCCAGAACCTGGCTCAGATCAGTGACCTACAAGCCCAGCTGGAGGAGGCCCTGAAGGAGAAGCAGGAGGTTCAGGAGAAGGTAGATGCTGCTTTTCTGCCCTTAGCTTACCATTCAAAATCTGTTCTTTTTTTAAAGTACACGTCAGAGAAAGGCCAGTAGGAAGACGTGAGCCTTAAAGTCATGTCACATATTGTAAGGCTTTAAAAGACGCTAACTAACAAATAAAAAAACATAATTTATGTATCCTATCAAAATATGTCAGGGATCTCACTACTTCGTTGTGTTGCTGAAGAGTTGGGTTCCCAACCAAACTAAACCGACCACCAAAATATCGGGGTAAAAGATGTTCCTTTGCCTGATAACGTATTTTCATTTTGAGTGCAAAGGGTGTGAGTAATGATCTGGTGTTAAAACACAAAGCACCAGGCCTCAGATTCTCTACGTGGTAATTCTTTACATCACTGTTACTGAAGTGCATGAAAGAATATTGAATGGTAAAATATACAATCTCTTGTTTGTTTCTCTGTAAATTTGGTTTACAATTGTGGATGCTTAACTCCAAAGAGACTTTCAAAAGCGGGATTATGGTTAGGGTTAGGGTTTAGTAATATAGCAATTCAAAAAGGTTTGAGAACAGGATCCACTTTACCTCCCCTGACGCCGAGACATATCTCGAGTTTTCTCTGCTGCAGTGCCTATTGCAGAAGGCCATTTGCAAACTTGCTTGAATGTGCAGCCCTGCCTCTTTTGCCTTGGTCTATTAACAAAAAACAACCCTTGATGTAATCGATGTGTCATTGAGTAAGGATTGGCACTGGCAATATGTGACACATACACATTATGGTCTCCCAAGCTCAGATAAGCAATAATGCTGTACATGGTATAGCTGTCACCCTCATAATGACGGCTGCTGCGGAGTCTTTGGCCGTTTCTCAATCGCGAGGATGCTTGCTTGGCAGCACATGTCTTCCGAGTCACTTCCTTCCGAAGCTAGGCAAGATTCCTTCCTGGCAATCGGAAAACGAAGAGCGGAACATGCTAGCAAGTGTGCAGGTGTGCCCGCCTTACATTTTCCGCCATAGATTTTGGGAAATTGGTCCGTGCGCAAAGCATTGTGGGGATTTGAAGGACGCGAAGTCTACCCATGTGCAGCCTCGAAATTACCCCCAAACCAAGGACGCAGCCTCGGTGGAATTCCAAGTATGCTGGAGATTGGAACAGTCCTCCTTCGGCGGCACTCGATGACGTAGTATCCTTGAAATATTGGCTTGGAAGCCAGTTTCCTCGCGATTGAGAAACGGCCTTTGTCTCCATCAGACACAGCTGCCCCTGTCAAATCAAACACAGCCAAGAAAAGGCGAAGATCTAACCCCCTATCTCCCACCTTTCTCCTGTACAAGGGTTTGTATGAGCCATACAATTACTAACAAAGCACTTATATACTAACAAAAGACTGGCTTATCTAAAGCCAGTTGAGTAGCACTTGAAATGTTTGGCTCTATGAAACCTGATGTACTTATATGATTCTGTTTTATTCAAGGTTGTATCTTCTTGGTCGAATGTAAGTCGCTTTGGATAAAAGCGTCAGCTAAATGCAATGTAATGTAATGTATGACCCAAGCTCTGTATTTTTCTTTACTATGAAATCAACATCTATAGATTCAGTTTCAGGGCACGTATCTCCACTGAGAGGAACAGAAAATGCTGCAACTTACCTAAAGCTTGAAAGAAATCCACAATACCTCAACATTCTTCACTATGTATCACCGGTTGCATTTTGTTATTTAAAGTAGCAATATGAATGGTTTTAATCAGACAAATGATGCTTGTGTGGTTAGAGCTGGAGTCAATGTGTGGTTAGCCTAGCTTTGCATTAAGACCGGAAGCAGAGAGAAACAGCTAGACTCTCTCTGTCTAAAGCTTCACATGATTTAAGTCCAAGTGTACTACTGTCCTATGGTGGGTTGCCCATGCTGGTTATATGGGGTAAACACACTCAACCCAGATATAGATAAAGCTTTAAATATTTAAAATTAAAATGGAGATGGAGAATTTATAACTCAAAACATCAACAACTGTACTGATTGGTTGGAGTTAAAACTTCAAGCTCTTATTTAGGTTAATCATTCCCAGTGTTCTTTACTTTTTTTTTGGGGACCAATCATTTGAATAAAGGCTCTAAGGTCATAAGGATTAGCATCCATTAGGAGGTGGAGTTGTCTCAAAGCAATGAATACAGTGCTACAGATGATGACAGTCAAACCACATAAATATAGAAAAGTAGTGTACCCAGGACAGAGCCTTGAGTAACTAAGCATGTATAGATATGTAAAGTTGTGTATGTTTGTGTCATAGATACAAGCCCTCCAGAGCCAGCTGGAGTTCCAGGAGCAGTCCATGGTGGAGAAATCCCTTGTCAGCCGGCAGGAGGCTAAGATTCGCGAGCTGGAGACCAAGCTGGACTTTGAGAAAACCCAGGTCAAACGGCTGGAGGTGAGAAACGAAAACAAAGGTGGAGGAGTGCTGGCGTTGATAGGCAGCTGGTCGAGGAAGCCTCAGCATGCCATGGGAGGAGGTCTTGGGAGGTTAAAATGTATAAGTCATGATAAGCTGATTCTAAATGGCACCACATGTAAGGTACTGTACATGACCATTGCAAGTTAGATATTAGCATCAATGCTTTTGTGTTACGTTCACTCGACAAACCATTCCTTGTTGTGTCAAATCATGTTACGGTTTTGCCTGAGACAAAAAGCACAAGTGAGGGATAGAGGTAACCATCTGCATACTCCCAAGGACACATTGAATACCTCTCGCCCACTGATAGAATGAACCAGTGCTCAGTTTTGCAGGTTCGGTTTAGTAATTACTAACTGTGCAATGTGCTCACCGCAAGGCTAACTCCCTCTGCTTCTCGCCCTCCAAAGTCAAAATATGTATTTATTTAATGTGATTCTTTTTTTGCCTGGGGTGGAATTTGCAGAGTTAGGAAAATACAGACAGTTAGACTCTGCCTTGCTTTTGTGTGGCCTCTTAAGCAAGGGAATATTTCAAGTTGCCTGAGTAGTATAACTTATCAAAGCTGGAGGTAGCAGAGCTCAATCAATACAGATGTGAGGAGGAGGCACAGTAAAACACCCACTCAGAATGTGAAATATGGACAGGGCTGGTGGCTAATGCAGGAGCTAACTCGATGATGAAGCACAGTATGCTGCTGTCATTGATGCGCAGACTGAAGAAAGACTGCATAGAGGAGTCAGCTGTTCAAACATATGTGATGTTAGTCCGTTGCACCACTCCAATACATCATAGAAGTTAGGGTTGTACACAAATATGCATACTAGTAACTGTATTGATTTTCAAAAACACTGTTTATTCCTTATTACTGGTTTACATGCATGGATAAACTCAGTCAATAATTGATTTCATTTGCAAAAATATACCCCATTTATAGTATGTTCCCTTCCCAATTGGTGCTATTAGGTTTAGTATCACAGGGACTGTGATACATATGGTGCTTTGTTCTTAATACTGTTTTTGTTGTTTTCTAATCTATTATGGTCATTTTCAGGTTCACTTTTGTACTTTGTGCCTCTTCTGGGTCTGCTCTGATTGGTTAGCTGGTCTGCTCTGTTGTGATTGGTCAATCGGTTAGCGATGTCCCGCCCCTAGCCTATCACGTACAACGTGTTGGAGTGCTAGTCAAAAGGAGCGAGAATTTGACATAGTGAGGTCAAGTTTGAACCACGGATAAGCCCTTGCTGATCTTTGAAGGAGCCATATTGAAGTAAAAATATATATATTAAAAATGTTGCATAGCACCACTGCTTTCTAGTGTAATATCTCAACAAATATGGGATTTATTAATACCACATTTGTTATAGATATTCATGTTCCTCTAAGGATTAATTTGAATCATTTGTTGACCATCTAGCAACATCATCAGGTAAATATTTCAATTGTCCTGCTATTCTTGTCTGGGGAGACATGAAATACAATTCAGGACGTCATGATTCTGAAAGCTGAGTCTGAAGGCTAACCGGAAGCCAATCATAATTACAGTATGAACCTTCTATCCGAATCCGAATAGCTTTATTAGTCCCACAAACCCCTATGAACCATTGACCCTCTGACTGTTGGACCGTAATGTACCCCCTGAGCCTCAGCTGCCCAGTACTCGAACAGAACAGTGTGCATGTATCGGTCAGCATCTTGTCAGATGGCGTACAGTAATGTAAGGATTTCACTTTTTTTGCAGGACGACTACGGTAAGTAAATGTGACTGTACATTTATTTGTGTACTGTCCAAATTTGTATAATGTATGTATGTTACCATTGTGAGCTTATGTTGAACCTCTTTTATTCTCTTTGCCCCGCAGAGCCTTGTAGCTCGCCTCAAGGAGAACTTGGAGAAATTGACCGAGGAACGAGACCAGCGCAGCAGCGGTGAGATCCGAGAGAAGGAACAGAACAAACGGCTTCAGAGACAGATCCGCGACAACAAGGAGGAGACAAGCGAACTGGCCAAAAAGGAATCAGAGGCCAGCCGCAAAAAACATGAGCTGGTAAGGACGTGACAGGCAATAATGAGACTACTTCTAACAATGATCAATGAGCCTGTAAAGCATCCAGCGACAGCACTGTAGCAGCATTGATATGGTCAACCTCTGCTCCACGTCCGCTCACTCTCGTCTCATTAACAGGAAATGGACATTGAGAGCTTAGAGGCTGCGAATCAGAGCCTGCAGTCAGACCTTAAGCTGGCCTTCAAAAGGATCGGTGACCTGCAGGCAGCCATCGAGGACGAGATGGAGAGTGACGACAATGAAGACCTCATCAACAGGTACACAAAAAATCACTTCTGGGTTGGAGCTTTCCCCTCAAAGTCATCCTCGCTTTTAAAAAAAAACAAAAAACATTTGGCCATCTTTATGAAATGTGTTTTTCAAAAAATGAATAGGAATTTTGTAAATGTCCCCTCTGTGAGATGAATAAAGGTATTCTGATTGTGTCTATTACAAATATACAATTATCCACTGATTTTTCTAAGATGTTTTATAGCTTACAATTTGTAAGTAATTGGTTGCAATTTCCATTCTTACTGCAAAATGTTTACTACAATTGTAAAAACCGTACGATGCTGTTAAATGCAGACAAACATCTGGATTCTGACTTACATTCTATGTAGAGTTGTTTCTCTACTACTCTTCTACTCGCTATAAATGCTCATTCTGCCATGTTAGGATGCTAGGATCAAATGGTTACATGTGACATCAGCTTCCTGTTGTATCTGATCTATTTTTCTTTCCCAAGCGTGACAAGAGCAGATTGAAATCAGTCTTACGTCTGTGTGTAGAACAAAGCTTTGACTTAGATATCCAGCTTCCATTGTGCCTGCAGAGACAACAAAGCCACGACTTGCTCTCCACCTGTAACTGGCACCCAGCGCTGAAGCCGCAGAGGAAATACATAAAGACACATTTTTACATTTGTCCTTCAATACGGATAAAACAATGGAGATACAACAGGATAATAAGTGAGCTGTAGGCATTGGACGGTGTATGTTTGAACTTTAGACTGTCAGGCTAGCTGTTTCCCTTTTCCTTCCAGTCTTTATGCTAAGCTAGGCTAACCATCCGTCGTTAATACACACACCTATTGTGAACATTTCTCTCAGAAAGAAAGCAGAGTCCTAACTCCGGAAATAAGTTATCATTTTAGCACTTCCGGGCTTCCTCGTCGAGAAATTAATAGATTTTTTGCGGGATAGATTCCAGAAATAAGATGTATGGTTAATACAAGCTTAGGAAATTGTTAAGATTTGTTCTATGATATAACATATGTCAGTAAACACCAACCTGGTGAACATCTGAAGCGTTAATGTGTCTTAAAAGAGGTTGTCGCTAACAAGTGGCTAGTCTACTAAACTTCATCAGGCCAAACATCAGCAACCATTAGCTTAGCGGTGACATGAAGTCATGCGATCGTCCTGTATGTAGTTTGTTTATAGCCTAATGTGTTAATATGAGTAGATCATCCTGCTGAAAAAAACATGTAAATATCCTAAATATGTGTTTTTCTAAGATCTTATTTTCTGCAATATTCCAAAATCCAATATAAAACTCTGGTCTTTTTTGCGGAGGGAGCCCTTAGGATGCTAACTCCCGGGTCAAACTACAGAAATACTTTTTACTTCAGCACTCTTTCAGATGAGGGAGTGAATTAGTCACACTGAAATGATCTCTTGATAAAGCATCTCTCACGTTGTATTATACACAGCCCAGTCCTCAGTCCTCTCTTAGGCACCTGCTGAGCCTTACAGTCTCACACTTACACACTCACACACACACACACACACACACACACACACACACACACACACACACACACACACACACACACACACACACACACACACACACACACACACACACACACACTCAGGGTCGTCCTCCCTTTCTGTATGCAGTACTAGAGCAGGATGAGGTGGCATGCTGAGTCCCTGCATGCCTTACAGTCAGTTCGCCAAAAGCAAATCAAAACTGGGTCATCCCAGCAACTGCCATAACACACATTTATAGAGACATTTTGAACCATCATTCATTAAAGCATTATTTTTTTCCTAAGATACTTTCAAGCTTCTCTCATGTTCTACGTATTATTTTTGTCTTAATTCTTATATTGTGTTTTTCTTTTCTGTTGTCGTTTGTTTTTCCTGTTTTCTTTTCTTCTCTGTCCCTCCACCCATCATCATCACGACCAGTTTGCAAGACATGGTGACAAAGTATCAGAAAAGACAGAACAGAGCGTGAGGAACCTTGACTTGTGTTTTCTTTTTTTGAACCACTGGAAATGATGCAGTATTCTCCAGTCTTTGAACATTTATTTGAGAGGTTGATATCGAAGAGAGAAAAGTTTTTCTCCGGGTTTAGATACGGTCCAGTTAGCCCATCACTTTCTGGCTGTCACACTGTTAGAAACGAGCTGATATTTGAAGGGAAAATCCCCCTGACAGAAGAAATAGAAACAATTTGGAAGGCTCCTTGGCATTCTTGGCCAATTTTGTGATTTTCATCTATTTCAAGACATCAACTATTGGTGTCAGGCCCTCAGAATCAAAGAGCGATGGCTCAGTTCCAGATGCACACATGTTCAACAACTCAAAGGCCTCATGGCAGATGCAGAGATATAGTGAATCCAAGAAGGGGGGGATTTCCTTTTGATGTGTGAAGGCTCGGGGATAATGCATCATCAACAGTGCTCAGAGATTCCTTCATAACACACAGTTGACTCTTCATTGCATGCCCTCACATGCTGAGATGCATGAATACCACTGACCATATGTTACTTGAGTCCCAGCATGAAACATCTCTCCTTCCTCGGAGTCTCTGTAACCGCTTTGCAAAGCTTTGAATTGAAAGGCATATTGTCTTGATCTCTCAAGTGATCCCCCCGGAGGCCCAGACCTTCCTCTCACCTCACCTTCACACAGCCGGGAGGGTGTATCCAGCTGTGTTTACCGCCTTGGTCTTAGGGCATCATGTCGGACTTCATGGTGTCATGTATGAACAGCGGTCTGCAGTGAGTCAGCCTCTGGCTCCCAGAGGCCACCTTAATATTTCATGGGCCCGCTCCAGGGCTGGATGTGACTGCAGCTCAGTGGCGTCTGCCCTCCTGACAGGGGACGAAAAGAGTGTGTTCCTCATCCATCTTTGACTCGCACCTGCTTAATAATGCAGAGCGCTCAACTGTCGGACAAAAAGCTGCCTTGCTCACCGGGCAAGTAGCACGCACGCACGCAGCGTTAACCTGTGGCCCTCAGCCAGTCCGTGCCCTGTCAGTGTGAGGGGGGTGGGGGGGCTGTTGTCAAAGACACCAATGTGTTTATTTATTTGTAAATTAGAACTCCAGAGCTCACTTTAAACTACATTTTCATTTGAAATATTCCTGACACTAACCTGTGAAAAGTATAAGTATAAACATATGCTTCTCAAGCTTCTAAATGAACATCCAAATGTGGTTGTCCTTATTCTTCAATACTGCTCAGATACTGCTGAAAGATAAATGTGTTTACTTTGGCTCAGCTGTCAATCAACATGTTCTCAGACAGCCAACAGGGGCTTGGAGGATGACATAATATCACTGATGCATCTCCAAAGACCTTCTCTCTTACTTAAAAAATCTAAAGTGGAACTCACTTTACCCCAGATATTTGATTACACTAAGGAAAGGCTTTTCTCGCTTCATATGACATCTAATGAATGACTGTTCAAAGCCACTGCTCTTGACAGTGTACGTTTTGCAGCACAGATGAACTGTGGTACCTTCTCTTGTGGCGTGGGGGCTGAGAGGATGTTTCCCCACGGTCTTGGAGACGATGCATATGCCTGTCTGCGCTGCAAAGCCACAGGGACTTCTCTAGGTCGACAGTTTCATATATCGGAGGCATGAACAGTGGCGTCCGTAAGACCCAGGGACACAGAGGAGCGGAGCAGAGCAGGAGGATCTATAGAAGCTAATGATGAATGTAATGGTGTGTAACAGAGATGTACAACCAATGGAGGCGGGATGTCACAGACAATTAATGTCTCCTCAGCACTGTGTTTGTTTGCTTTCCCCAGGCTCTCGGCAGGGCTTAACTAATGGTATGGTGGTCAAGGACATAAATTGTGTTTGACACCATGTGTGAAGTGCGCAATTATATATTGCCCACAATTGTGGTTCTGGCTGTAGAACCTGCGAGCTCTCTTATGTGCTCTGAATGTATAACAAAAGTGTACACAGATAAGAAAGCCTTTGGAAAATAGTGACACAAAATATGAAAGCTCTTTTAATGAAATCTGAGTTATAAATCGTTTAATACTATAATTTATTTTTACTACAATATTCGGTCGTAGCATTTCTAGTGTGATGACTGTTTTGAGGCAAATGCTGTGTCTCAATTCAGATACTTCCCTTAGTACACTGCGATGGCTTGGACTGTGAACATTTGTTGTATTTCAACCAGGAAGCGTTATCTGAAATACACTCGGCTGCTGTGCCCTCGACAGAAGTGTTAGTGCTGCAGCTAACAGCGGCTATCGACTAGCTGCTTTTAGCTAACTAGCAAACAGAAATGTTGCTAGCAATGTTATCGTTTGTGGTTGCAAATCATTACAGGCAGCTCAATCAACCCTATAACATTTATGGTTGCTTCTTAACACTATGATAGTGGTATCTTTATCAAATACAAAAAAAACACACACAAAACGTTTCGTTTACGGTGCTGTGTTGACCAGTGCCGCAACTTTAATTAAAAAGTGGTTGTTCAGTATGTTAAGTGTCCAGCATTCAGTCTTATAAGTGCACTTTAGGTACTTACAGTGCATTTTGCTATACTTCGCACTGGGACAAACGTATGCACTCAAAATGCCAACAGTACAGAAGTATTGAGACACAGAGTGTCTTTGTCAGCCTTACCCTTTCCACACACAGAGGTCCTGTGCTTCGTATTTCCACTATCCACCCTGAACCCTGCCTATGACTTGTGTGGTACTAGAACACACCACACATTGGGAACTGACTTAAAACAGTCCAGGCAGCAATTACCTTTCCTCCCTTCAAAACATATTGGGCATAATCATTTCAAGGACAAAGAGTTGCTGACCATGAGCCTCTGAAACTGTCATTTTTTGTTGAAAGGAGACTCGCCAGTCTCACTACGAAGGGAAAACAACTTTAACTGCACTTGCTTTGCCTATTTTCATATGTTCGAGAGGTAAGAGTTTTTATATTTTAAACGCGTTTTGCCAGTGACCACAAAGGTTATAAAGGAATCATTTATAAAAGCTCCAGGAAAGAGTTGACTCAACAAAACTTAACCAACGCACAAATCCTTGCGAGCCTTTAACTCTTGAAAGGGTAAAAAAAAGAAAACATGTTATACATGATACTGTAACCTACGTAATACTCCTTCAGTTATGTGTATTCATTCTTTTCTCAAAAGCCCCCAGAGACAGACAATGAATTACATCTTAAGAGTTGGTCGCCTCCCTCCTCAGCTTTGGTATGAATGCTCTCCTAGCATTACCGCCCAAGGTTGTTGTATTCCATGAAAGCTTGCAAGATATGGATTTGGATCTCAATGGCCATTATTTTTAAATAATGTATACGCTTTGAAATCACATAAACTAATGATGTTGTTATTATCATAGTTTAAGTGGGCCTTTGTGAGCTCTGCATGCTGGAGAAAATAATGTTTTCCTCTCTCTTCCTCGGCAAGATGGGAGGCTTTCTGAAACAGATGCAGAGACGTTGAGCCACCCTCTGATGTCTCTGTAGGACTATTAAGCTGGAACAACTTAATTTCACAGCAACACACAAGCACTGGGCTTTGACGGCACTTAATGAGTGCTGCGCTCTCTTCATCCGTGTCAAATTTTATGACAAGCCCTCTTTTTTACTCTGTGGCTCGAAGTGGTTCGTGAATGTGTAATGATGATTGAGAGGAAAAACAGCGCAGTGCCCAGCTGTGTACCAAATCATTCTGTCAAGAAGGGAAATGACTGGTGTATGCATATGACTGCGTGTGTGTGCAGGACTGGTGATGAAAATAATTATCAGATGAAAGGTACATTTGGACGTTTCCTGCGAACAAAAGTTTTCAGTTTTTTTCTATCTTTAATCCTGGTAACATTGATAGGACTGTAAACAAATGGAAGTGGACCATTCCTCTAATTTCATCGTTTTTTATTTTGGTTTTGGTTGTTACGCTCCTATTGTATGAGGTTTATGCAAATGTGCTATATAAATAAAACTTGATTTGATTTGATGCAGGTATTTCCTGCTGAAGGCTGTTAGACTGAAACACAGACAAATATAACAGGGTCATTACAAATCTGGAAAAGTCATGGAAATTCATAATGCTAATTCCAGGCCCTGGAAAAGTTATGGAAACAATATTTTTCCCAAAGTTTTGGAAATGTAACTAAAGTTGCATCAAATATAATTTATATTTTAGCTAATCGCCGAAATAGTAATACTATAATGATAATAAATACTGTATCGTATAGTAATGAAACGTAAAATGGCATTTAACTGTCGAGGTATTTTGCTGGTGAGAGATTTTAGTTGCTTTAGCGTGTAGAAGCTAGTAAGCCAACTATTTGATTTGTTTTAGATAGGCACAACATGTTTCATATGCAGACCTTATTTTCCTCTTTCCATGTTAAAATAAACAATTTTCAGTGTTACCACTGAGAAAGAGTCATTATTTTGTTTATGGAAAATTAGGTAAAGGTCATGGAGAAGTCATTGAAAATTAATTGTGAAAAAGTGTATGAACCCTGATATAAGTATTGAATAATAACCGACTAAAATATCTACACATTATGTCACGAGTATGTTTACTGCTAAAGCTTTGTGTCCAATGAAAGCCAGGTGCAGCTCCTCTCAGAGAGTTTGTTTGCTCAGCTGAAGTAAGAACGATTTAGATACCTGCATAGTGTTACTGAATCTCATTACTATGGCCTCATTTGACCATTTATTGTTTTATGTCAGTGCATTTCAGCAAGCAAGCTGTCATAAGAACACCTTAGATTGCAGCATTACACCCAATCTCAGTCTGAAACCACATTATATTGAACATATTTAGGTTTAAAGACCTAATTAATAATGGCTTGTGAACCACAACATATTGAGAACACAAGGTAAGCTTGAGGGAGCCCGTTACAAAACAACACAAACGCGGGTCTTAGTATCAAACAGCGGGGAAGCAAAACCTTAATAACTCAATGGTTTGATGTTTAGGCCCTTTGGCATCATTTAGATGCAAGGTGTCTATTGAGTAATATTCCTCATTATGTTGAGAAAAGTTATTGCATGTTTAAAAGGATGCCACTTATTCTGGTACTCTGATAAAAGCTTTTGTTCTTTGCCAAAACATGAGTATAACCAAATGAAATGGAGGCCAAAATATTTATATAATTTGTTTCTGGTATTTGAACGCCACTATATGTCAGTTTAGTCAAGTCGGAAAATATCTTCTGAGAAATCTTTCTGAAGTGAACTCCGCAGATTTAACATAGCACGTGTCAATCAAGAAGAAGAAACAATCCAAACATGCACCCAAACTACAGATACCATCTTTAATATTCAATGCATTCTTCTTTGTTGCCAAATCGTGCCGTCTACATTTCCCAAAATGCAACTCTGCTTCATAGGTTTTGTCAGAGATTCAGGTGTGTTATGCTGGTAGCTATGGCTCTGCAATACTAAGCATTGTATGACCCCTTTACAGCACCAGGCAGGTGTTGAACACATTGTCAGTTTAACCCCAAATCAACCACCTATTTGAAATAAAGTTATTTTAAAAAACAAGGATAGTTCCTATATGCAGGCTCTCTCACTGGTTCTTGTTCCTGTCATGGTGCTACTGGGGCTCTGGGAGAGGTAAAGGTAGAATGTGTGTTGGTTGCCTGAGATGCTAACTGCAGGACCATGAAAGCGCTCGTCTAACAGTGACAGCAGGAAGAAGCTGCTGCGTGGTGTGGCATGTTTGTGTGCTTACTGGTGCTTTTTGAGCATGTGCTGCCTTTTATTATGAATAAATGTCACTATCCCTCTTTGCTTCCACATTAACACTTACAGCCTGTTGTTCATTGTTTGGATCCACAGCTACAGAGAAATACAGGAACTTTTCCACCAGTGTTGTCTCTCCTTTCACACTAACATTTGTTTTGCCTTTTGCTCTCCTCTCTGAATGACAATTTATTACGGTTTTCTATTCATAACCTCCTCCGCATCTCTCCTTTGCTTCCTCTGACTTGTTCTCCTGTCTCTGACTCCTCTCCAGTCAGGGCGATTCAGACACAGACTCTGAGGTGGAGGACCGTGTAGACGGGGTGAAGTCATGGTTGTCTAAAAACAAAGGATCCGCCAAAAACCTCTCAGATGACGGCAGCCTCAAGAGCTCCAGGTCAGTACAAAGGCAGCTGCTATTACTAACACTACAGCAGCTGTTACTAAGTAGTCTACCTACACATTTGACTGCTTCTGAACTATGTCGGGATGAAGTTAATGCAATAGCAGTAGAGCACTTGGTTGAAATAAGGTGGGAGCTATTACTTACATGTGTTTCGAAGCTGCTTTGTCTTTATTGTCGTCCGCTCGGTGAAAAGGAGACTTCTTTTTTTCCAAACAAACCACCTCCATGGTAGATTTATCGACCTGCCCACTGGCCAGCTGGCGTAGTCTACCTGAGCCGCTTGCTGAGATTAATGAATGTGTCTGCTAGCTGACAGCTTCCAATGCTCCAGATTTGTCTCCTTACCAGAAGATTTAACTTCACTCCCTCACCGAGCCACTCCCAACTTTAATAACTTTTTGAGCTTTCAAATCTCTCTTAGCAGCATGTCCCCACAGACAAACACTGTCTGATTCCCCAGCACTGACTCCTGTAATGTCTTTAAAATCAATGGGACTTTAATGTCAATTTATTTCCCACAAGGTATATCGGAAATCCTGCCTAGCTGTCAGTCCTTCACATAGACCCACGTCATTAGTTTCTTATCAGTTGTCTACAGCTATACTATCCTTTCTCTGTCTTTCAGTCATTGCTGTACTCTCATTTTGCTGAATTTCATTAGGTAACATTCTACTACAGGAGCTGCCCTCTTGAAATGATGACACCATATGTAACACAGAGTGTGCACAGTTGTATAAAGAGGCCTAAGAACCAATCTCAGCCTGTTAGCATGAGCAACCTAGCTGCTATATTAGCATTTGAACAACTAAGCTTGTTATCTCTCTAAATACATTCATAACCAAATTGACGCAGACTCATAATTAGTATTTCAAAACGTCATATGTTTGTCTGCTGACAGTAATATGAACACACACACATTGGTCTGATAGCGCTGGCTAACCTTAATGTCAGTGGAAATGCGGTTAAGCTAGCTAGCGACATGTTTAAATATGCATATAATCACGTTATAGAAAGTTAAAGTTACTTCTCTCTACATGTCCACTCAACGTACTGTAGCAAATGTTAAGGCCAGATTAGAGTCCTTCATCAAATCTGTGAGATTTAGGTTTCAACCAAAAGCATTTACTGTCAAGAATAGTAAGACTTAAGGGATACAACTCAAACGTTGCCTTTCATTTGGCTAGATGAGGGTTTTTTGCCATTATGCCAAATTGGACAAAACATCTACCGTAATTTTCGGACTATAAGGCGCACCTGAATATAAGCCGCAGCAGCGGCATACCACTCTCGGTTCCACTNTCATTGACTAGGTCCCCCCGTGTGGTTCTGGGATTTTTGCTCACCGTTCTTGTGATCATTTGGACCCCACGGGGTGAGATCTTGCGTGGAGCCCAAGATCTTGGGCTCCACGCAAGATCTCACCCCGTGGGGTCCAAATGATCACAAGAACGGTGAGCAAAAATCCCAGAACCACACGGGGGGACCTAGTCAATGACCTGCAGAGAGCTGGGACCAAAGTAACAAAGGCTACCATCAGTAACACACTACGCCGCCAGGGACTCAAATCCTGCAGTGCCAGACGTGTCCCCCTGCTTAAGCCAGTACATGTCCAGGCCCGTCTGAAGTTTGCTAGAGAGCATTAAGATGATCCAGAAGAGGATTGGGAGAATGTCATATGGTCAGATGAAACCAAAATAGAACTTTTTGTTAAAAACTCAACTAGACGTGTTTGGAGGAGAAAGAATGCTGAGTTGCATCCAAAGAACACCATACTTACTGTGAAACATGGGGGTGGAAACATCATGCTTTGGGGCTGTTTTTCTGCAAAGGGACCAGGACGACTGATCCGTGTAAAGGAAAGAATGAATGGGGCCATATATCGTGAGATTTTGAGTGACAACCTCCTTCCATCAGCAAGGGCATTGAAGATGAAACGTGGCTGGGTCTTTCAGCATGACAATGATNTGATTACACACACACACACACACACACACACACACACACACACACACACACACACACACACACACACACACACACACACACACACACACACACACACACACATATATTTATAGTGTATATAGACAATAAATAAAAGTTATTTGTTTTTAGTAATATATTTATGCATTCATTTTTTTGTTCTCCAAACATACTTAGTGAATTGGATGTTAAATAGTCATAAATAGCAATTAGTATTATATTTGCTTATTGCTTTATTTCTAGTGTTTTTTTCGATCCAATATTTACACGCTATGGTAATAAGCTGGACATAATGCAGAAGGTCAAACAACTCATTTAAAGTATGACACATTGAGCAACATATAGGTTCAAGGTTCCATGTTCAAGGCTTTTATTTGTCATACTTGCATAGCTACAGTGTGGTTATGTCGATGGAAATCTTAGCTCACAGGCTCCTCCAAAAGTGCAACATAATAAAACTAAAAAACTGAATAAATAGTGCAAGTAAATACAAAAATAAAATTAAAATAGTGCAATAAGGGTCTATATACAAGTGATTGTAATATTATATATTAGATAGATACTTTGTAAGTTGCAGCCAGATGAATGTTATGGATATTCTTTCAAAAAGTGCAGGTGTTTAACAGTCTCATAGTCCGTATAGTCATTATATTGAAATAGCCAATCTATAAATAGGCTGTTCAACATGATCCCAGCTAAGTTAATAAGCAGTCTCAATAGCAACAGGAAGAAATGAGCTGTGACGAAGTTAAACACAAATACATGTTCTCAATCTTGATCTACAAAGGTTTTCCACACCTCTATTTGCATATTAGAAAATCATTTCTGAAATGGCATACAAATAGAAATAACTGCGTATTTCCTACTCACATTGTCATGCTAGATTGCAATAACTTCTTAAGAGTGCTAAACTTTTTTAAAGGAATTTGAGATCTGACTATGATTCCCCAGCAATATGCTGACATTTGTAATCACAATTGTATTTGGGACCCAGTGCACGAACAGGCCAAAGAATCGGAACGAAATTATTTTACACTGCTTAAGAAGAATCAAGCAACATCAAAAGCGGGAAGTGTTGTTTATGATTAACTTTCAAAAGTCACCTGGAGGGAGGGTGTTGTCAAGTTCGTTTTGGCTCAAATTAGTCTTTTTATCATTAACTGATTGAAGCTAATCATACATTTGGTTTGAATAGGCCTGTTCAAGATAAAAAATAACAAGTGTACAAAGAAATGCTTGTGACAGGCACATTAGACAGCAGTTCATGTATAATGCGGAAAGAAAAAAGTATTTAGTCAGCCACCAATTGTGCAAGTTCTCCCACTTAAAAAGATGAGAGAGGCCTGTAATTTTCATCAATAACAAAAGTTCATCTCAATACTTTGTTATATACCCATTGTTGGCAATGACAGAAGTCAAACGTTTTCTGTAAGTCTTCACAAGGTTTTCACACACTGTTGCTGGTAACAGTGTGTTTGGGATCATTGTCATGCTGAAAGACCCAGCCACGTTTCATCTTCAATGCCCTTGCTGATGGAAGGAGGTTGTCACTCATCTCACGANTCCGGGGGGATGCTCCCCCGGGAAGGTTTTTTTAAATATTGAAGTTGAAAGCATCAATCTGGTGCACTTTGAGAGCAACATGAAGAGATCTATGGATACGGTATCCATAGATCTCTTCATGTTGCTCTCAAAGTGCACCAGATTGATGCTTTCAACTTCAATATTTAAAAAAACCTTCCCGGGGGAGCATCCCCCCGGACCCTCCTAGAGGAGGTGAGGACCCCCCTAGAGGAGGTGAGGACCCCCCTAGAGGAGGTGAGGTCCACCCCCCACTCGCACATAGCACTTTACCCCTGCCTATATGCCGTGAGCTGATTATGGAGCCTTCATTGTAACAGTAATTCAGATGCAATTAGCCTATATAAAAGGCCTCAAATTGGAAGCATTGTCTGGGCCGTCAGTTTCACTCAATTCTGCAATAGGTAGATCTCGCCTTTCACCTAGGCCGAGGTCGGTGATCTTGGGCTTAAAAAGGTTGGTGACCACTGCACTAGCGGGAGCTGGCATACCACCAGTGGTACGCGTACCACAGGTTGAGAACCACTGATCTAGACGCTTCAGTAATGAACAATTACAGGCCCATATCAAACCTCCCATTTCTAGGTAAAATCAATGAAAAAGTAGTCTTTCAACAGTTGAGTAATTTCTCGCATTTAAATAACTGTTTCGATGTGTTCCAGTCAGGCTTTCGCCCAAACCACAGCACTGAGACTGCTCTTGTAAAGGTCTTCAATGACATCCAGACAGTGGCAGAACTTCAGTGTTAGTATTATTAGATCTCAGTGCTGCGTTTGACACTGTTGACCACAACATATTACTAGACCGACTCGAAAACTGGGTGGGACTTTCATCAACAGTTCTAAATTGTTTTGAATCCTACTTAAAAGGACAGAAACAACGTTGTTTCTATAGGTAAATACACATGTGAGTTGACAAATATGACATGTGGGGTACCTCAAGGCTCCATCTTGGGGCCTCTTCTCTTTAACATCTACATGCTACCACTGGCTCAGATAATGAAAAACAACAAAACAAGTTAACATAACTATGCAGATGACACACAACTTTACGTAACAATTTCACCAGGAGACTATGCTCCAATTCTAACACTGAGTAAGTGCATTGAACAAATCAATGACTGGATGTGTCAGAACTTTCTCCAATTAAACAAAACTGAGGTAATGGTTTTTGGAGCCAAGGCAGAACGTATAAAAGTTAGCGCTGAGCTTCAGCCAAACAACAGATAAAGCCAGAAATCTAGGTGTAGTCATGGAGTCTGACCTGAGCTTCAACAGTCACATTAAAACAGTTACTAAATCAGCCTACTACCACCTAAAGTCCGAGTCGGATAATTCATTTGGAAATAAGGCATACAATCTCCTCTCTATACATATTAAGAAAACATTAATCTAATTGTTGACAAATGATAAAGACTCCTGACATAATTGTTCAAATGATTTCGGAGTTGACTGATGCAAAAAAGGTTGCAGCTTGAGAAAGACTCTTGAGGGACCTGCAGAGGATGTACCTTGTCCTGTGCAGACAGCATCTTGGACTCCAGCTCTCTCTTCTCCTTCATCACCTTCTGCTTCTCATCGTACTCTTCTTCAAGCTGGACCTCCATTTGCTTCAGCTAGAAACACAAAAACACTCAGCAGTGAGTACACGCACAGTTCTGTGTGAGCACATGGGAGTCGTGCACCCTTTGACCATAACATATTTGTGTATATATATATAGTCTTACAGAAGAGCTTTACAGCTAAATGTGAGAACAAACATTTTGAGTTCTGAGATTACAGCCCGAATTTAGACTTTAAAAGGTTACATAAAAATTGGTTTAAATTTGAATATCTTTTTGAAATGTGGCCCTAATCCTCTTCTGTTACTTCTAAATAATATTTCATAGTACTATTATTAAGTGTAAACCAATAAAAACGTCTATTGTCCCATTATTGGCAATAAAAAGCTGCCACTTAAACACTTTTATATGTTGATTTATTTTGATAATGCTGTTATTTAGGGCTGCAAATATAATATAAATATCATATCGGAATTGCAATATGGACTAGCGCAATGTCCAAATTGCAGTAAGCACAATTTTGTGAAGGCAAAATATGTGAAAATACAATTCTGAGAGAAGTATGGTGGAAGAGCAGAGAAGTCCTGGCCTGCAAACAGTATTCTACAGACTTGATTGAAATGATCGTTTGGTCCAGATTATAATTCATTTATATGATCATGTTCAAATGTAAACAAAAATGCCAAAGCTAGCAGCTTTATGGGGATGACGATAGATGAACCGTAAAGAAGAACAGATTTTCAGGATCCCGCCAATATGAAGGGTAATACTATCTGTAACAAATGTGCAAGTCCATAAGATATTTTACAAGTTGGTTAAAGACATTGAGCAGCTGGTGGCTCTACAGAAAACTTAAGTCAGCAGTAGCTTGTATGTTCATAATCTTTTGATGCATACAAATAAGCAAGGTTTCATGTTGGGGCTAACGGAGCATGGCATAAAATGTCCAATTTACACTTTAAGGCCATTTCCTTTGTGTATTTATTCAGCGTCCTCAAAAACTGCATCTCTATGTTAATGAGCTTGACGCTCGTCAACTATCAGCAGGATGGCGGGGGAGCCTCGGGGAAGCAGTGTGTGGACCTGTCAGCGCAACTT